ATTTCCACGATTGTATGAGGCCCAGGAATCAGGATTTTAAAAAGATTCCCAGGTGATTCTAATGTGCAGCCAAGGTTGAGAGCCACTGCCTTACGGTAACGTATAGAACAGCCTTCCCCCTGGAACCACCTCCCGCGTGTGGAAGACGGAACCTGGTGCCAGGGGGCTCTCAGTTGTAAGCAGGTGTCAAAGCTTAACCTGGTTCAGGGAGGTCGGGTTGTGGAGTCACACTACGGCCCGTTTGAAATGGATAAAACTAAAAAAAAAAAAAAAAAAAAAAAAAGACCGTACCCTTTTATGTAATGATGTTTACTTTGAATTTATATTAGTTCACACAAACCCTCCATCCATGCTTTTGTCCCGGCCCTCCGGTCCAGTTTAAGAACCCATTGTGGCCCTCGAGTCAAAAAGTTTGCCCACCCCTGGGTTAGAGGCTGAATCCCGCTGCCCGCCTCACGTCAGTGCAAACCACGCGGGGAAGCAAACAGCCACGGCCACAGTCCACACAACACGCCTGCGGTCCCCGCTGTGCTGTGTGGGAGGCCTTGCCCTCTGGAGCGTAAGGTCCCTGGGATGAGGGCACTGGATGGGGAGCTCAGAAGACACCCCTCCGTCCCAGCTTTCACTCCTGCAGATGAATCAGGAAGGGGATGTGGGGCCTGGGCCGGCCTGGTCTCTGTTTCTCAGGGAATCATCCAGAGACGCGTGGCCTCTGCCCTTCCCCACAGGTGTCCTGGGCCTGAGCCAGCAGAGGGGAGGCGCCGGGAACCGCTGGCTGATTGCTTGTTGGGGCTTTCCCAGCCAGCACCGTGCCTTCAGGTGAGATCAGAATCCCTGCAGGAGAAATCTATGGAAACCTGTCCGCTGACGGTTTTCTTGTTCTTTTCCTTGTTTTTATTGTTCCCATTTGGTCCAATGTGTGGGAGAGGCTTCAGGTGGGTGAAGGGTGGCTGTAGTTTTGGGGGGGAGGCTTAGGCAAAAGCCAAAGACGGGATGTGAGGGCCCTCAAAGGCCTCTGGGCCCCAGGGGCTCCTAGTGGTGCTGGAGGGTGAGCCTGGCGGGAGCATTCGCCCAGCCCAGCCCGGGGCCACCTGCGGGTGAGGCAGCTGTGGCCCATCTTCCTGATGAGTTGCCCCTCCTCCCCGGAGGTGGTTCCGCGGGAAGTCACGGGGAGGAGCGTCTGTGGGCAGAGCCCGGCTGCGGCTTCAAAGGGCCTGGGTCGGGCCCCCTCCAGGGCCAGGGGCGCCCATGGCGGCCGGGGCGTCGCCCTCCTGCTGGGGAGGCTCCCGCCCTGGAGGGGATGCGGCCCCCGCGCTGGGTTCGCGGCTCTAAGATGCTCAGCGCCCTCGGCTTCTCCACCAGCTCAGGAGGAGGCGGCCCTGCCCTGGAGAGAAGCCCCCTGCGGTGCCAACAGACGCCCGGAGAGGTGGGTGTGGGGCCCGCAGGGGCCGGTGGCCAGGCGGGTGCGGGGCCTCCACTGGGTGGAATAATTGGGGTGAATGTGGGGGCTTGTGGCGGTTGGGCAGGAAGGAGTTAGGGTGGAAAGAAAGCGGGGTGTTGGCTGGCCTGGGAGGCGGCTGTGAAGGTGGGGACTGGATGGGACGTGGAGGGGGGTCGGGGCTGGGGAAGGGGGTCCCTGGGTCTGCTCCCTGAAACCCTAGAAGCGGGAGGCAGAGCCGGACCGCCCGGCGCACTGCGCTGCTGACTTTTTTCAAAAAGAGAAAAGGTGACGTTTGCATTTCACGGAGATGTCCAGGCTGAGTGGAAGGGCTTCGAAGCCGGGCAATTATCAAATGTGCGTCAGCCCCCTGAGGGGGGGGTGGGCCCAGACCGGGGACTCTCCTCCTGGGAGCCTGCCCGCCGGGGGCTTCTGTCTCCGACCCCTCCTGATTCGGCCGCGGGGGGTGCCCAGGCCCTGGGGGCAGAGGGGCCCCCTCTGTCCTCGGTGGGTGCCATGCTCAGCCCGGCTGCCAGCAGCTCCATTGGACCCTCTAACGCAGCGGTTCTCAACCTTCCTGATGCCGCGGCCCTTTAATACAGTTCCTCATGTTGTGGGGACCCCCAACCATCAAATTATTTTCGTTGCTACTTCATCACTGTAATTTTGCTACTGTTATGAATCATAATGTAAATATCTGATATGCAGGATGTGTTTTCATTGTTACAAATTGAACATAATTAAAGCATAGTGATTAATCACAAAAACAATACGTAATTATATATGTCTTCTGATGGTCTTAGGCGACCCCTGTGAAAGGGTCCTTCGACCACCAAAGGGGTCTCGACCCACAGGTTGAGAACCGCTGCTCTAACGGGTCTCCATCTCCAGCATCGGCAGCTGTTTTGCCTTCGGCCTTGATTGGCCTGGCCTGGGCCGTCCGGGAATGAATGAATGAATGAATGAATGAATGACTCCCCCTCACGCTCCTGGGGGCGGCTGCCCGCTGACCTGGGGGTCAGAGACGTGGTCCTTTCTCGCGTCGAAGGTCGAGGGTGTCTCTGAAAGGAAGAGCACAAACCGCAGCAGGCGTTTCCGATGGAAAATGGAACGCGCCCGGGACAGGCACAGTGAGGACAGGTCAGGACGGGAAGGCAAGGGGCCTGGACGGCAGGCTTTTCTTAAACCGAGCTCTGGGAAACACGTTTCTCTCAGAGTCCTGGTTCTGGGCTGGGGCCATCCGGTAATTCATCCTCAGCTGCCCCGATCCGATCCCTGCCGGCCTGGAGTCGGCTCCCCTGATCCCGGGGCCCCCGGCTCCCGGGCCCCCCTCAGAGGGGACAGACGTGAGGTCCTCAGTGTGGACGAGCAGGAGTCCCCCCCCCATCCCGCCCCAGCTATCGCTTCTCAAGGGCATTGTTTTCTTTTTTTGTTTTTTAAGTG